CCTACCGCAGGCAGAACGTGTTGTGTACACGGTGCCCGACGAGCTGGCTTGACTGAGAGCTATGAACTGTATGTGTGCCTGGGCATTCTGTACCGGAGAGCAGTCGGCACCAGGCAGGCTTTCCAAGTGCCAATCACAGGGGTAAAAAGCAAGGGAGTAACAGAGGTTAACGGCATCTAATGCATTTATTAACCCTTTAGTGCCAGGGCCTGGGGAGGTCTGGCCACAATTACAGTGCCATGGAAATTCTATTATGTGACATTCCTGGACGTGGGATTACTGCCAGTGACAGTTTTATGAGACTGCTGCAGGGACAAGGCTTATGGAGAGCCTAAAGAGCAAGTTCCCTGGTTTTCCAGAACGACAGCAAAGCTACTGGTTTGTGGATGGTGTCTCCAGTATCCTCTTCACCTTCTCAAGATGACAACCTTGCGGTACTGTGTTTTGGTGGTGTTGTTTCCCCCAACTCCGAGTCAGGCAGCTTCTCCCATAACCGCATAACGATGAGTGAGCTGTTACGAAACCCGCTTTCATAAAAGGGATTAAAGAATTCGTTTTTCAACATGCTGTAACAATGGTTAAAATTGACTTTTAGAAAAATTGAAATCCATTCTCTTCTCTTCTTCTTTATCCCTGTCTCCTTTTTAAGAGATAGATATTTTAAAGCCACAAACTGTAAGGTTTGGTGCCTAGATAGGTCTGGGCTGGCCAGGCTCTGTGTTGGGCCCCTGCCTATCCTCTTAATGAGCAGGGCTGTAGAGCTCGCAGACAGGACTTCTTCCATTATTACACCCCTGGTTTTACCCGTTTAGGGCTCGGCAGTGGTGCTCTTCCAGTTTCTAACTTGCAAGATCTCAGAAGTTTTGGGTTTCTTTTTGTTTCTTTAATTTTCCTGGGACAGTCCCAATTTTCATCAACGGAGGCAATGTTTAAAATATGTAAATACTCTTTGCAGTAGTTGAAGGTGAGAGATGCCCTATAATTTTATCTTCTTGCGTTTATCACGCCTGACTAGCAAGACGGCGATAGCTTGATGTTTTAAAAAAGGCTCAGGATAAAAGCCTTTAAAATGTGGAAACAGCAGGTTGTTCAGGCTTCTACAAGGGGCTTTAGGAGCCAGATTTTCCTAAGTGGACTTTGGACCTGCATAGGTAGATTTCTGACCCTCGGTGGTCACCCGAGGGGTTCAGACTGAATACAGGACTTATAAGCATGCCGCCAGCTAGACATACGTAGGTCTGAATCCCCAGGCTCTGCCCCTCCATCTGCAGCTTACGAACCCTTAGAGTCACTGGACGCCCAGTTGATGCCGCTCAGTCCAAGCAGCAGACCCACTGGCCCTCATTTTGTAATATATACCCCAGGTTTGGTGTAGGATTTTAAAAGATCTCATGTCTATGTGCAACCCTTCGATTCTTTTACCCAGGGGCTGCCTGCTATTCCAGCAACCACTAACATCTGTTCTTTGCCCTCTAATCACACTCACAGGTGTTAGTGTGGTTCATGCAAAGTTCTGGCGGAACTGGGGGGCTGCCCTTCTTTGCCTCTGCAGTTCTGGGGGGTTTCCCGACCCCCCAGACCTCTCGATGGGAAGCAGTGTTAATACGCTATGTAGGCAGAAGCTTTTGAGGCCAGTGTGCGTGGACCGCTAAGCCTCTGGAGCGCTAGGTGCTTCTGCTGGGTTAGGAAAAGGTTGGACAGGAGAGAAGGCATTTTCTCAGAGCCTTTGCAGAGGCCTGGTGGCGCACGGTTATATTCACTCAGCGGTTCGTCCTGTTCTGCCCAGCAGAATGGTTCTCAGGGCCAGATGAGCTTGGGGCTGCTGCCTCCACCCTAAGTAAAGCCAGTGGAGATACAGGGAGACAAAGCCAGAGGTTGATTATTTGCTGTAGATACAGGCCAACAAGGTGCCTGCTTTGGGGGAGGAGATCCCAGAGCCTTCACAGACTTGGAGCTGGTCTCAGTGTATTTTCTTGTGTGATCAGTCATCCCAGCCATTCTCAGATGGGAGGCAAGGGCATGTCTGCCCGGTTGTATGGCTCTAATCCTGTACAAAGTCGAGCTCTCAGTGACCACTGAGGACCAGAATCTACCTATGTTGGTGTAGAGTCCACTTAAGAAAATGGTTAAGATAGAGACCTTTTCTAGTCCATCGGTGGAAGCCCCCTTTACAATCGTGTAATAGATGGGCATTTGACTAGTACATTAACAGGTCCCTGAAGTGACTGAGTGTAGCTAGTGAGTCTCTCAGATGCTATAGGTGATGAGCGATACACTGCATGCTGGTGCTAATCATATAGAACAAAGTAGGAGGAGGCCTACCAGCCCTTGGGTCTCTTAGAGGGCACTGCAGTCTAGGACACTGAGGTGGAGCTTAGCTGTGACCACAGCACAGAACAGAAACAACTTGAAGAAATAATGTGGCCCAGACTAGAAGTCGGGCTGCCTTCTCTGCACGTTTTAGTGAACGTCTTAGTTATGCAAAAGCCCTTAATGAGGGTTGTCTTTTGTAGATTACCGCCTAGAAAAGACAGAATGTGATGTTTTCGGGCCATTTTGGTGTCTGGCACAATTCCAACCTTGAACAGAAATAAAACGTGCAAAGTTCTACATATTATTCTCTACAGGTTACAATGCAATGGACCAGATTTGCTATTAATATGGATTAAAAGTAGGCTTCTGAGTAAGGCTCAATTCCTCTTCTGATTTGCCCTCTGATCTTCTTATACATAACATTTAGTGACCTTTGAATAGCCCAGGGATGCTTCACAGGGTCTTTTTCTTGACGCCTGTTTAAAGGTTTCTATTTCATATTCACAGCGGGCATATGCAAATAGAGGTAAAGGTTATGACACCTCCCACGTAGCATTATGGTCAATAAATTACTCCTTGGGTGAACATGCTATCATTTCAGGCTAGCACGTCTTCAACAAGTTGCAAACGTTGTCCTGCAGTAGGCAGCCTGCCAGGGCATTCCCACAGAGCTGGTTGCCCAGATACTCCTAGATTCAGGTGTTTTGCTTAACCAGGGTCATCCTGTCGACAAATGAGTTCTTGGTCTTTCGACGCCAAAGGGCTCCTAGTTTCAGGGGGAGGGGGCTATGGGAGGGATTCTTTGTGTGGCTTTTGGGGGCAGGGGGAGCATGAAGACCCAAGCATGCCAGGGTTGCCTGGGAGAAACTGTAAAGCAGGAAAGAGCATAGTTCCATTAACGAGTTTCAGACTTATCTAAATCTTGACTCTAAAGTAGTTTACTGTGTGCCCTTGGATAAGTCACTTAACTTCTCTGCACTCTAATTTGTTTTCCTTTACAAAACAAGAGAGCTGCACTGGGTTAGCAGTTTTTATTGTAATTGTTTGAGCAATGGAACCTTCCCTCCACCTCAGTTCTCAGGTAGAAACCCAGTGGAAACTTGCTTCATTTGTGAGGAAATAGGGGGCTTAAAGTCCTCACAGCTCAGGAACTTGTAACTGCCCTAAAGCAGTTTTCAATAAAATATGTATGTATTTGTATTGCATAGGTAATGTACATGTATTTTTTTAAAACATCTTTATTGGAGTATAATTGCTTTACAATGGTGTGTTAGTTTCTGCTTTATAACAAAGTGAAACAGTTATACATATACATATGTCCCCATATCTATTCCCTCTAGCGTCTCCCTCCCTCCCACCCTCCCTATCCCACCCCTTTAGGTGAACAGTATGGAGGTTCCTTAAAAAACTAAAAATAGAACTACCATATGACCCAGCAATCCCACTACTGGGCATATATCCTGAGAAAACCATAATTCAAAAAGAGTCATGTACCAAAATGTTCATTGCAGCTCTATTTACAATAGCCAGGACATGGAAGCAACCTAAGTGTCCATCAACAGATGAATGGATAAAGAAGATGTGGCACATACATACAATGGAGTATTACTCAGCCATAAAAAGAAACGAAATTGAGTTATTTGTAGTGAGGTAGATGGACCTAGAGTCTGTCCTACAGAGTGAAGTAAGTCAGAAAGAGAAAAACAAATACCGTATGCTAACACATATATATGGATTCTAAAAAAAAAAAGGTCATGAAGAACCTAGGGGCAAGACGGGAATAAAGACACAGACCTACTAGAGAATGGACTTGAGGGTACGGGGAGGGAGAAGAGTAAGCTGGGACAAAGTGAGAGAGTGGCATGGACATATATACACTACCAAACGTAAAATAGATAGCCAGTGGGAAGCAGCCACATAGCACAGGGAGATCAGCTCGGTGCTTTGTGACCACCTAAAGCAGTTTTAAGATGGATGGATCTGGGGTCCGTAATGCCCTTCACGATTCCTGAAGGGGACCTGTCTGAAAGAGTCCCTGCCCTGTGCCTTAGCCCCCAAGCACTGAGTGGTTTTCCCACTAGAGAGCAGCCACATGAGCCCAGGACCACATCCGTTTTTGTCATATCACCGTATGCCCAGCGCTGGAAAATAGCTCGGTAAGTGTTTGTGGACTGGAACAACTAATAAACAAATGAACAAACACACAAGCTTCAGGAAGACCTATCTTTATATTACTAATAAATGTGGATTTTTATTGCACCATTTTTACCTAGAAGGCAGTTCCTAAACATTAACTTTCAGAACTATAAATGAGTTCAAGATGTAAATGACTTTGTGCAGTGACTTTGAAATGAGGTGGGTACAAACTGAGATGTACTATGTCAAACACACCAAATTTGGAAGATTTAGTATGAAAATAAAAGAATGTAAAGTATCTCATTAATCATCTTTTATATTGATTACATGTTGAAATGGTAATATATTGAGTTAAAGAAAATGTGATTAAAATTTTCTTCACCTGTTATCACTTACGTGGTTAGGAGAAAAATTTAAGTTATATATGGGCTCACAGTTGTGGCTCACATATTTCTGTAAATGGCACGGTCCTAGACAGTTAATCATCAGTAATTACTCTTCCATAGTATGTATGAGTGATTTTGTGTGTGTGCGTTTTTGTCTCTTTCCAGGCACAGAAGCTGAAATCCAATATGTCGGGAAGTCCACACCTCTGTCTTTCTGATGTAAGTTGTTTCTTTCTGAGTCTCCCTGCATTTATAGAAACAGAGCCTTTGGGACCCTGGAACAGGATATGATGTGAAGGGCTCAAAGACAACAAGGTTTCAGGTCCAGAAAAAATCTAAGTCACCCTCAATGTCCCTCTGCTGTTTGAGCCAGGTGCAGTCTTCAGATCCTAGTGCCCAAAGTGAGAACCAAGTGTGGACCCCAGGATCCTAATCTCAGAACTGGACCAACACAAATACCATTGTCCCAGTACCATGATAATCTCTGTGGTCACAGTCACATGAATTCATCTGGCACAGAGAAGATACATAACAACTCTCGCTCCTTACCAGATGTCCTTTGACCTCCACAGCAACCCAGAAGTAGCCAAGGCGGGCCGCATTACACTCCCCGATCTACAAGTGAGAGGGTGGTTGATTCTGTCACAATCATAGCTCATTGTGGCGGGATGTGGCATTATGGGATTGAGCAGGTGCTAGGGATGGGGATGAAGGAATCAATCCTGGGGAAGGACAACTGTGCTGACTGGGAATTTGGGAGCCTGGGCTTTGGTCGGGACTCTCTGAAAAGCAGGGCGAGATCCTTCATCTATGAAGTCCATGGTTGAACCAGCCAATGGAGGGAAAGGCTACTGCCTTCTCTGCCAGCCTCCAATGCGATTTGTGACCCATCTCTGCATGAACTCATACTTGCTTGGGCAAGTTTCCCAAGATGATTCTTCCTGCCCTCCTTCATGATGGAGAGAGACAGCAAGCATCCCTCCTCGGTCCCTGGTACCCAGAAGGAGAATGGTTCCATGTTGCACAGTTGCTGGGGGACCTTGGGAGTGGGGGTAAAAATCTCGGGTCAGCTTGGTGAGCAGTGAGAGAGACAGAGTGCGGTTACAATATGCCTTGATGGAACGAACACGTGCAGTGGGTGATAATGAAACATTCTTTCTTACAGCGTGATTACGAAAAGGATGGTCTTGCTGGGGCTTCCAGCCACATAACCACAAAATCAATGGCTGCCTCTCCAAGCTGCAGTCTGAGCCCACTGCTGGTCCTGGTGGTAACTGCCCTGTCCACCCTATTATCTTTATCTTTGGCTGACACATCGTAGCTGCATTTAAAAAACAATATGGACATGTAAAAAGACAAAAACCAAGTTATCTGTTTCCTGTCCTCTTGTATATCTGAAATTCCAGTTTTAGGAACTCAGTTGAGACACTGCTAAAACAGTTTCATCCAACTGGAACTTTTTTCTTTCTTTTTTCTTTTTTTTTTCTAAGAAAGCTTCTTGTGGTCCTTAGGGCTTATATGGGATCCCCGATACAGTGCTACATTCCAAACTCAGAAGGCTTTGGGGCATGCTGTATTGTAAGGGGACAGTTTGTTGGTTTGGCTGTAAAGCAAACTGGGGCCGTGTTTTTCAAGAGGACGATGAGGATGGTGATTTTAACAATTTAACTCTGGCCTTCACTAGCTAGAGAAGGAGTTAGTATTTCTAAAGAATCTTCCATATCTCATGTAATAGGTTTTATTTCTGATGACATGACTGCAGCGGTACATGGATGCCAGGTTTCTTTGGTCACAAAGTGAAGATCCTCATCAAGACAATCTTGATGGACTTTGTGCAAACAGGCTTGTACCAATGTTCACTTTTCTATATGTACTAGTATTTTCCGTGCTAAGTTTATGTGCTGTAAACAGTTCTGCACTCTCCTACAAAAACAAAAAATACCTGTCACATCCCAGTGTAGTGTCTGTCTTCTAGTCAAAATAGAGAGTGAGAGTGGGCATGAGACTTCACAGAACCTTGACCATTGAGACACTTTCCTAAGCCTTACCTGAGTGAGAAGCCCTTAAACTAACAAGAGTCAAATACAGCTGAAGCATCATTCCAACACTCTTTACACGTATGAGGTCATATGTAGAAAAAAATTTTACTACTAAATGATTTCAACTACTGGCTTTCTGTATTTTGAAAGTAATGACATTGTCTTCATTTTTTTTACTGGTGGTTTAATACAAAATACATGGAGCTTGTTTTCCTCTCATAAGTAGCGTTAACTCCAATGTTCACGAAGACAGCTCTTCAAAAGCGGGCTCTGCATCACGTGATTGTGGACAGGCAGGAGGACACAGAGCAGCCAAGCATTGTCTTTTATCGTTTCTTGAAACGCAAGCGTGCATACCTGTGAGGAAACCAGCAGCCACTCGTAAATGTTCTACATTGTCCAGGGGCACCCTTGCCAGTTGACACAGACCAGTACCTTGGTGTTCATGTTACTTGACTGGGACGGGGGTTGGGACTTGCTGCCCTTTCTTCAGAAGCAGATCCATGCCAGGGTACACAGTTCTTTTCCTAAGGATTGTCTTGACTCCCATCTGTCACAGCTTGGCCGCTGCGTAGAGCAGTTTGGTCTGAAGGTCATGGGGAGTCTGCTTGCACCGTGTTCTGTGTCCTCCATGACAGACTGTGACTGATTCTGCAAAAAAGAAAAAAGGTTTGTGGATCCAGAGGGTCACGAATAAGGTCTGTGGAGCTGAGTTGATTGGCACAGAGACACAGAACAGAACAGGACTCTGGATATAAGGCATTTGGCGTGTTGCTGCACGTCCTCTTCTATCGTTCTTTTCCTTAAACGAATAGACTCAAAAGTGCACTTTTGAAGTCTGGTTGAAATGGTGAGATTCGAAATCTACAAGGATCGAGTGCTAGTAGCCATGTTTCTTTGAAACTGAATACAGGCGAGGAGATTCCACCCAATAGAGTATTGGAAGCGTTCGCTTTCTTCCCATATCAGTAGAGGGGTGGAGGGGGGAGACCCACAGTGCACATTTCATCCTGATTCCCTTTGCCCACGGATGTTTGCCTTGTAAGAATTAATCAGATTACTAGGGTGGGAAATCTATTAAACCCAAGATGAAGGCATAGCCTTTTAGCTCTATTGGTGTTTGAAGTACATTTATATCCAAATGTTAATAAACATAAATGTATATACTAAGTACTGAGTTTTTTCACTTCAAAATGTTTTCAAGGGGAACTCATCAAACAAATTCAATTAGTGAAAGGTTTCCTAAAGACTCTTCCTTTGAATAAACACATTCAACATGTCGAAATACTTGGAATTCCAGTCATCTGTGAAAGCATATCTCTTACAGAGCATATTTTGTTTTAATTAAGGTATCTCTATGTATCTACATTGGACTAATTGCATAGAGGTCTGATTCTATGTAATCTACTGTAGAAAGCTATTGATTACTTCTGTAATAAACAGCAGCTCTAATTAGCTTCAGATGACCAAAGAGGAAATAGGAGTTATCAGAGCTAACAAGAGTGGCTTTCAGTGAAGAACCATGGATGTGCAGCACATAAATTAAATTGTGAAAAGCCTCATCTTTTCACCAACACAGATCTCATTTTTCTTCAGAGATAGAAGCATAGGAGAGTGACCAAATCGTCCATTTGAAAATAAATTACTGCTTAAGTAAACAGAGGGAAGGATGTTCCATGACAACTTGTTAGAGAGATTCTTATAAAATCATGCCAAGCAAGTGTTTCTGCCATTCGGGGTGATCTCAGTTTAACACGGTGCCCCGGAAACACCATCATTTGCCCCAGTACTGGAGCAGGCAAAACCTTTTACCTATCCAGCTTCCTCTGGCAGTGCCAAAAGCAAAAAATGGTTCACTACTTCCTGTCCTACAGGCCCTGCATGGAAAGGGTCACCAAAATACAAGGGCTGCCTGCTGAGGTTTGGGCCTGTTGGAGAAGGCATCTCATTGTAGTTGATTTTGGCAAACAAAAAAAGTAACTCACATCCATGGAGACCGCGGCTCCCAACTCAGGTCTGGCTATGCTCCACCCATTTCAGAGAAAAAAAGGCAAGATTGCCAAGCCGATTAGAAGCACATTTTCAGTCCCCTTGATGTTGAATATTTGACCGAGAGGTGTTTGAGTATCTTTTTAAATAGAGCACACGAAGGAAGAAGGGCACAGTAAAGAGAGGGAATTCAGAATGCCACCTGAATATATTTTTCCATATCTCGTTTTTTTCGAGCCTCTAGTAAAAAAAAAGTGTAAGTTGAGAATGACATAGATTATTTTACATTAAGTATAGCAAACTGTATGCAAAGTGTGAAAGGAGCGTGGTTTTCCATTAAAACATTTTTTTTAAACGATTCTTTATTCTGTAGTAAAAAATGTTTCAGAAGCTACTTCTTCAAGGAAAACAAATATAGGACAGGGCTCCTCCAGAGTTGCTGTGGCCTTTGATCTAGTCTATGTTAAGATTGTTTCTATCTTGCACATGCTCCGAGGATGGGTTGTCTCCAGCTGCATCCCCATTTCCCACCTGCCTCTTTGTACTCTGAATCAGACACTCCCAAACACTCCATCTGCTGAGCTAGGAAAGTGGGAGAGAGGAAGCATTTCTAAATCAGTGTTAAGTGCTTGGGAAAAAGACATGTAAGAGCAGTGAGAGTTTATATAATTAGCAAATTCTGTTCTTAGAATCCAGCAAAAATGTATTTCTGTTGTTATTATTTACAAAACAGTGGCCTCGGAGGAGCTGTCTTTTGGAAAATAAGTTTTCATTCATGTCGTCAGGCATGCACGACTTATTTGAGTCAATAAACTGCGGGCCAGAAAATGACCTGCTTAAATGAACGCACATTTTCTCATTCTCTTTCAAGCTGTTCTTGAGCTCTTGGATTCATACCCCCGCGATCTTTGTTGCTTCTGCTCTTTGATAAAACAAACGAGACCATGTCAGACCCATCGTTTCAAGAAAGACCGAAAAGCAATGACAACACACAAGAGTCAGTTACCAATGGCCTGAACATGATGTTGGCCAAAGTGCCTGTCTGCACTGAGTTCGGGGAGTTTGAAGAGATGAAGCAAAAATCAAGGTACCGCAAGAGACCACGTGCCCTTGGTGAATGGAGCATGCAGTCTGGTCCAAACAGAAAACTCGTCCCAACAAAACACCCAGAGTTCCTTGAATTAGACTCCAGCGCCTTTGTAGGGAGCATGCCAGAGCTAATGTCTGGAGGGCAGAGGAAGGAGTTTCTTTTCAGAAATTCTAAAACAGCAAAGCAGCTGGGAATTTGGTTAGATATCCTTACAAGCTATGTTTTTCGCTCATCCCTGAGATAAGCATCTCGTGTGTAGATCTGATACCTCTTGACTTTGACACAGCTTTTATTCTCAAGTGACCATTTATTTGAATTCTGTTGTCTAGAATTCTACAAGACGACTGTACCTCTGAAATATATTCTCACTGCAGAGGCCTTAAATCTGTGGGGTTTGCCACCGCCTCCATCCTGGGATGTATTCAGTGGGACACTTTCATTTCCCAAGGGTCATTATCTTAAGACATTGGCGGATTCCCTTCTCTCGCGTATCGATTATTGATAACCCCGGTCCCCACCCTTGTTTCTTGTTGCCCAAGTATTTAACGGAGTCCCTTCCCATCAATTCTCCATCGTAATCATTCTAAATTTAGTCCTACCCAAATTCATTCTTGTTCTGTCAGATGCCCATCCTGCACGTAACCCTGGCTTTTTGAAGACAGAGAAGTCTCTAAGGAGCCAGGCGATCTGAAGAGGATGCTAATCCCAGAGTAGAAAGTTCATCCATCCAGCCCTCCCCTGAGCTCCCCCTTCTTAGCTCTGGGATTGTCTTGTCTCCTGCCTCCTCGCCAAGCATCCCTTTGTAGTTCCCAGAGCTCTCTGACGAGCTTCTCCTCCCTCCCGGAGACAGCCTGGGTCTTTCAGCGGGGATGCACCACCTGCACTCCTGATTGTTCTGAGACCCAGCCCAGAGGGGTGGGGAAGGCACGCCAGCCCTGTTTCAATAAACTGCCTGCAGAGAACCGCAGCCTGTAACAGTCATCGAGCTCCCAGCCCCCTGAGGTCCCCAGGCTCATTTGACCAGCGCAGCTGCGACTTCGGCGGTCTGCCTCTGGCAGGTGCCCATAGCAGCATCGTGTTCCACTGCCACAGGGAATTTATTTTTGCTCAAGGGCAGCTGCCAAACCCAGCACCAGCATCAATAGAAGGTTTTCTCTGATTTTCTTCTCTTCATCCCAGGTCCGGCTGTCTTACCAATCCCCACTTTTCGTTTTGCAGCACGTGCCAAAAGACTGGCCGGAGACCATC